TACTTAGTTGCCATTTCATCATCTAGCCTCATCTGACACACACGTACAATCACTTACTATCTGGTGTTGTAGTGCTTCGTTTCAAGTAGAGCGTCTGAGTAACTTGCATACACCACCCACAGAATGCCGTCAAGATGATGTGCCTTTGCATATTTTCTACCGTTTACGCATATGGATCAGGAGTCATCACACTCAGGCAATTTCAAGATGAGGTCACTGAGAAAATCTTTAGAATCAACAGTTTTTCACGCATTAATTTACTAAGGCACGTGATTCATTTGGCGTTGTTTCATGACATTCGTATAGGCAGTAACATCGTGAATATAGCACCCAGGACAGACTATCGCAATGACTTTCGAGAATTTCATTTACTAGATCAGGTATGTTAAAGTCTTCGCCACAATGGTACTGTATTCAAAATTAATAATTCCAGCTTCAGCAGGCAGTCCCACTCATGTTATACATAAGTATTTGAATTTGTTCAATAAGATATTGTCTTCATCGAATTTATTTCTACTATCTTTGCTTCGTGAGTCCTATTACTCGCACGGTAACACGGTGGTGCGTTTGCTCACAGATTTTTTTAATCACAAGACATACAAGGGCAATTCCGTTTTGTGATGTGTACCTGAATATCATGTTTCGCCATTTTCCTTTGTTGAAAAATGAAATTCTTCGAAAGTAAGCTTCCGATGACTGCTTACAGGGTTTTCGGGATACACAGGCAAACGCAGCAGAGAGTTCTTCAACATTCCTAGTCCTGCACTCGCATTCTAACTTAGGCAGCAGAAAACTTGAGTCTGGAGCCGATTTCTTCCGGAAGTTAGCTTCAGATTATTCTTGACCGTCCTCGGGGTTTTTGGCCAGTCAGCAAAGCAGGTAGTGGCTGTTTCCCTTCCTTTATGAAAGCATTCGCAACACGTGTCCAAACCATTGTAGGTGTGACCTCTCAGTCTGGAGAAGGAGCACCTGAACACCAAGGTTCTCTCGAATCTGGAATCCTTACCATTCCGAGACACGTGATTGCAATGATTTGTTTCAGAAAGCACTTTTC